AATATGTAACAAGCTGCTCTAGACATGAAATGTGTATATATCTCCCCGTTACTATGAAATTATCTCCCTTTTTGTCTCAAATGCCAAAGAAATGGAGCAAAAACACACTACAAATGACAATGAAAATTCCAATAACTGAAGAAGGGCTACAAAAAATTTATACGATAACAAGATTCAGCCTAACTGCTATCAACACAAATATCAATGTCAACTACAGCAGTATCCTTATCTACGAGGCAGGAACATCATCTCCATCCGAACCATCAGTCTCATCACTCTTGTACTCCCAGTGCTCTCGTATTCAACGCAATCGTCGCTGAACGTTTATAACTTCGCCACGCAGCGCAGTGACCTCTGCCCTCATCTGAGTCACCTCTGCAAGCAGCCGAGCCTGTTGGCTGATCATAGTAGACATCTGGGCCATCAAGGCGGCCATGGGATCAACAGCAGAAGAGGCATGAGGGACAGAAGAAGACGTAGAATGAGGGATGCCAAACGTAGATGGAGCCTCAGATGGCGGAATGAAAGGCGGATCAGCAGAAAGAAGATCGTCGATGGTATCTGCTGGCACTACTGGATCAGTAGGCTCAACGGGAGTAGAAGAAGAAGAAGCATGAGATCGACTCTGTGAAACGGTAACAAGACCAATCGGTCGACCTAACCGATAAGAAGACCTTTAGGAAAGACAACGCCAAGGGCAGTGACTAATCGATGAATAAGACAAGCATAAGAAAAACCTATCATACGACCAGGGACTTGGAAGTGAGAATAATATGCTGGCAAAAGAAAGTAGGAAGGTCAATCGAGTCACCGTGAATCATGGCATAAAGAAATCTAGCCCTATCAGAAGGTAAATAAGAAGTGAGTGCGATCGGCCACAGGTTCGTGCACACAATGTGTAACAAAACTTGGCACTCAGTCGGAAACGATCCAGCGCGAACCGCAGTCGAACCCCCTGCCAGTGGGGTATCAAAAATAGTAGAGTAAACTACTGAGTCAGAAGGGCTGGTCTCAACCGAAAGATAGGAAAAATTGGGTGA